CTCAGTGATTTAGTGCCGCCTTCTTCCCAGGGCCTGGTCCTGGAGACCCAGGATCGAGTCTCACATCGGGCTCCCCACATGGAGACTTCTCTTTCTGCCTGTGTCTCTGGCTCTCTCTCTCTCTCTGTCTCTCATGAATAAATAAATAAAATCTTTTTTTAAAAAAAAAAGGACATAGAGTGAATATTTTTCAGAAACATCTTGCATTTTTTAGACCTGAATTAAGTGTGATATTTTAAGAAATATTTTATATGAAATGTAATAGAAAGTAATACAGAAAAGATTCTCTGCTCTGTGTTTCAACAGTACTTTGAACATACATCACAGAATTTTTTCTAATGTTTTGCATTAGGTTAAACCATATGAAATTGCAGGTATTCATCATTTGGATCTACAAAAATGCAATTTTATGTGGTTTACCTTCTTGGTGGCATATGTATTTGATTTGCTCACCAATTTTTTTTTAAATTTTATTTATTTATTTATTCATAGAGACAGAGAGAGAGGCAGAGGGAGAAGCAGGCACCATACAGAGAGCCCGACGTGGGACTCGATCCGGGATCTCCAGGATCACGCCCTGGGCTGCAGGCGGCGCTAAACCGCTGCACCACCGGGGCTGCCCTTGCTCACCACTTTTAAGCAACATGAAGATACAAAACTATACATGCATCATTTGCCTTTCTATTTCAAGAGCATAGCATGCAGGGCTGACAAATAGTAGACATGCAATAAATGGTTGTTACATTTAAACAAGTAAATAAGCGAACTCTCTCAGAATTCAATACATTTCAAATAAATGGGTAAAGAAAGGAACGTTTTCCTACTTCCATGGGATGCAGCCCAGAGAAGGACAAATATCCCATTCAAAAGAAAGCTGGAGGGGTTGTTTTGTTTTGGTTTTATTTATAAGTTATGTTGACACAATGGCAAATATTTAGATGACTGGATATGTATTTTACTCTTCATGCATAAGTTTTGATGGGTAGACACCGTTTAAAACTGAAACATAATTATAGCTACAGAATTTCTATTCTTTTTACATACATTATATACCATTTCAGTCCTGCCAGGTATTACTGCATCACAAATACATGGATCTCTGCAATTAAATAATTTTAATTTGTGGAATATATTATTAACTTCAAAAGGATAAATAAATGAACCATTTCTCTCATTGGAGCTAAAAAAAATTAGGATATAGTCATCTCTGGGAAAAACACAATACTATTCAGAGATTGTGGTTTAAGAAACTGGAAATTTCTCAGACTTTTCCCCCACATTTTTATACTTGTAAAAATAACCTTATTGTCGCATGCTTTTATTTTTTTAAAAATATTTTATTTTACTATTTATTCATGAGAGACACACAGAGAGAGGCAGAGACACAGGCAGAGGGAGAAGCAGGCTCCATGCAGGGAGCCCGACGTGGGACTTGATCCTGGGACTCCAGGATCACCCCTGGGCTGAAAGCCAGCACTAAACTGCTGAGCCACCCAGGATCCCTATGTCATATGCTTTTAAAAAATGATACTCCTTGTATTATTTGTCTCCTGTTCATCTCTTGGATTCCTGGCTAGACAAAACCTACTTCTCCATAGGTTATAATACATTGGGAGGGAGGGCCCAGCCTGGTAGGGTTCAGTCCTGCAGGCTCAGGCCAAAAGAACGCCTCACAAAAAATTCCTGGTTACAGAATTCTAGCACTGGAGAGAAGACATGGGAACTTTCAATTTTGTGGCACTGGGACATTCTAGGAACAACAAAAATGACCATTTCTGGGTCTTCTAATGTGTATATCCAAGTTATGTGCCATTTTATATAATTCTCACAGGAACCCTGCAAGATAAATATTGCCATCCCCATCTCACAGATAAGTAAACTTGCTCAAGGAAGCAAGTTTGGCTAAATCTATGTGACTTAGCTAGAATCCAGGTCCCATTCTCTGCAAAGGCCATTCTTCTTCCAGTGTACTGTGCTGCCACTGTGACAGCCTTTCATTCCTCCAACAAATACTTATTAGTGTTTACTCTAGGCCTGATTTTTTTTTTAAGATCTTATTTATTTATTTGAGAGAGAGAGAGAACGTGTGCAAGAGAGCACGAGTTGGGGGAGGGGCAGAGGGAGAAACAGACTTTGCTGGGCAGGGAGCCCCACATGGGGTGGTGACCTGAACTGAAGGCAAACACTTAACCGATTGAGCCACCCAGATGCCCCTCTATGCCTAATCTTGTACTAGGCAGTGTGCCTTGGCCTCATTAAGCTTAGTTTAGGGGGACACAAACAAATAACTTCCCAAAATATACATTTTCTTGATAATGTGATAAAATATGAAGGGATAAATACATGAAGTGATAAAATATATGATAAAATATGAAGAGAAACAAAACTTTGTTAATGGTATGGCTGTTCTGTAAGTAAGCTGGTCCAAGAAGGCCTCTCTGAGGAGATACTGTTTGAGAAAAGACTTGGATGTACTGATTCTTTTTTTAAAAAAAAAAAAAATATTTATTCATGAGACATGCAGAGAGATAGGCAGAGACACAGGCAGAGGGAGAAGCAGGTTCCTCGCAGGGAGTCCCATGTGGGACTTGATCCCAGGACCCCAGGATCAGGACCTGAGCCAAAGGCAGACACTCAACCACTGAGCCACCCAGGTGCCATGGGACAAAACATATTTAAATGTATTTGCCATTTTTTCTGAAATTCAAATTTTACTGGGCATCCTGGTTTTTTGATGTACAGATTCTTGAGGGAATCATGGAACAGCAATGAGAAAAGCTAAAGATGGTACCTTGGAAATGCCTTGATGTGGCTCAGAACTGAGGCATTCCACCAAATGAATGCTTTCTGTTCAAACTGTTTTCTGTTAACTTACTTTGAATTCGATTATGTTCAACCGAATCACCTGAAGCCCACCAGGTTACTCTCTAGGAGCATCTTCTATATACTGTGTTCACTTCCCAAGAGGAACACTTTCTGCGAGCAGACAAAGTCACCTGAAGAGGTCAGGCCTCCCTCAAGTTTCTACCCATGCCTGGCATTTTGCCAGTTTAGTCACTGCCAATTGAGAGTAACTCAACTTTCCATGGAATCACTGTCTTCCAGAACCTGGATGGGCTCTAGGGTTCCCTTTTGCAGCTGCCTCTAGAAATCCAAGAAAGCAACATCAGGAGTGAGCTTGATCAAAAGAACATTCCATAGAGCAAGCAGTGAAGGAGGGTGCTGCCTTGTACCAGGACTTTCATGCACTTACAGCAAGCTTCACATGCCTATAGTGCCTGAGGGCATGGTGGGTCAACTTTGCCCTCATGTTTTCTTGCTCAGTGAGGGCCCATGCCTTTTGGGACAACAGAAAGACCAATTAAAATATGTCCATTCTCAATACTGTGATCTAGTGAGGGATAGTACTCCTATAGTGATAAATGCCATGAGTGGTACATGGTCTAAAGAAGTATGGAAGAGCAACAGATTGCTTTTAATTGGAGAGATGGAATCAGGTATGATGTAAAGTGTCTAGCAAACTCCGTGGCACTTACCAAACACTCAATAAATATTAGGTATTACTATTATCAGAAATGACTTCACATAGGGAGCAGAATTTGAGGCAAAGTAGGTTTGCCAGAAAATTACAAAATGCACAGTTAAATATGCATTTCTGATAGCACTTTTTAGTATATGTATGTCCCAAAGATTGCATGGAACAAAACATATTAAAATGTATTTGCGGTTTTTTTTTCTGAAATTCAAATTATACTGGGCATCCTGATTTTTTGTTTGCTAGATCTGGCCAAGGACAGTTTTCATATGAAGATGAAAAGCAGAGAGAGTAGACTGGCATGTCCAAAGACACAGACACAGGAAAGAAATGGTATTTTTTCATGGCACTTTATGTTCTCTAATAGCTGTTAACACTCACTGAGTACTTCCTACGTGGCAATCACTGCTCTGAGGGCTTTACAAAGATCAACTCATTTGTTCTTCATAAAAACATGTAATTTGCCCCAAAGCACAGAGCTGGAAAATGGTGTAATTGAGATTATGAACATAAGATGTTTGGCTCCAGGGTCTACTGTCTTCATCATATTGGATAGAGGAAAAGAATCCATTCAAGGGGGATCCCTGGGTGGCGCAGCGGTTTAGCGCCTGCCTTTGGCCCAGGGCGCGATCCTGGAGACCCGGGATCGAATCCCACGTCAGGCTCCCAGTGCATGGAGCCTGCTTCTCCCTCTGCCTGTGTCTCTGCCTCTCTCTCTCTCTCTGTGACTGTCATAAATAAATAAATAAATAAATAAATGAAAAATAAAAAAAAAAATCCCTTTAAAAAAAAAAAAAGAATCCATTCAAGGTAACTTATAGAAGGACTTCAGGGTCAGCCTATCACTACTGTCATTTTTTGAATATTTATTTATTTATTTATTTATTTATTTATTTATTTATTTATTTAAGAAGAGGGGGAGGGACAGCGGAAGAGGGAGAAGCAGACTCCCTGCTGAGCAGTGAGCCAGAAGCAGGGCTCCATCTCAAGACCCTGAGGTCATGACTGAGCCAAAAGTAAGAGTCAGATGCTCAGCTACCTGAGCCACCCAGGTGCCCCCACCACAGTCATTTTTAAAAAGTCAGATCATCCAACCATAATTCCTACACAAAGTGAAATATTTGCCAAATCTCTGTCTGCAGTGGCCTACTGCTAGCCTGCCTCAGCCACCCTCCATATTGTCTCAAGTACTCCAAGTACTCGAGCAGGGGTACATCTTCCTATGTTTTCCTCTTGCATTTCTAAAGTCATCCTGTTCCTGGAATGTGAGGTTGTCCTGGAATTGCCCCAAGGTACCTTTGCAACAGCTTATCAAAAGCAAACAAGCATGGGGGAATTGAGCAAGAACTTCTGGAACACCATCCTTAGAGAAGCAGCAAGGGTTGTAGAGCGCATGTGGACTGTCTAAAGAGGACAAAGATAATGATTAATCAAACCTCCTTGCAGATTTAAATAGTGTAGGAACTAAGAGTGGAGGCAGTCTTCCTTTCTTTCAGCTGGAGTGCTCCTCAAGAGCGAGCTCCACCCTTAAAAAAGATGTTTTCTGCGAAGATCTTGTGCCTGGTCCTGAGTGTGGTGGGCACAGTCTGGGTATGGCCGCCTTTACTTTCTCTTCTTGCTTTCTCTCTGGTGTTCATTCTGCAAAACGCTTGCAGGTCTGACTCAGTCTTAAGTTTGTCCTTACACACTGTTGACTTTATAAGCTCTATGTCATGGAGGCAAGTTCCTAGATGAGTCTGACACCTCAAGAGTAAGAGGGAGACTTAACTGGGTCAATGGATAGAAATTCACAGGGGAAGCTTTGGTATCTGTAATTCAGCCTTACGACATTGTTTATTTGTTTTGAGGGAAGAAATCTTTACCATCTTTGTTCCAATAAAGCCTTGGGATAGTTCATGCTAGCTAACAGAAAAAAGCATTCTTCTGATGAGAATTTTAGAAATCTAATGATTAATTTATTGCTAGTTGTCCATAATAAGCAGAACAGTGGTTTAATGTAGTTTTCTGAAAGGTTGTTTGTGGGTGTGGGTGTGTGTTTTTAAAGAAAAGCAAATTAGTTGTCTTTGAAAACATCTTACAAACAATATTTTATTGCATATTACATAGTCGGGAGAGATTAATTGAGAAGGCAATATCCTTTTTTGGGAAGGAATCTTTTAAAATAATTACTAAATATTGCTATAATTTCTAAAGTTTGACTCCAGAGACCTATAGAAAAGAAGAGAAACTTCATTCAAGATGCTTTTGAAACACTTAGATCTTATAAAAACATGATAAATATGTTTAAGAAACTCAATTACTTTCAGGATATGAATTATTCCAATTTTTTTCTTTCCCTTCACCACTCATAAATCCTACTATCAGAGCAAAAGAACTAAAGAGGATTTCTAACCTAATATTCTTCCTTATAGTAAACTAATAAGTAAAAAATTTGGAAGACTAACATCATTTACTAACATGATATGTTGGATATCTCTCCCTTATTGACATAAATATTGAATTTTGCCTATTTTTATTGTTGTGCCATTTTATTCTGAAGTATGTTTGAATTTATAATTTTATTTCTTAAAGATATTGTACTTGTTCCTTTAAATAAACTGTCCTTAATTGCTGATTTATTTATTATTATTCTTTTTATTATTAGGATACTTTAAAAAATGAGACAGCAAATATTAGGTAATTATAAGAATAAACTATTCAAGGGAGTACCTGGTTGGCTCAGTCGGTAGAGGATGTGACTCTTGATCTCTGGGTTGTGAGTTTGAGTCCCTACTGGGCCTAGAGAGTACTTAAAAACAAACAAACAAAAAGAATAAACTATCCGAGATTAAAATAGTCATAGCAAAAATCCTTGGTATGTTAGTGATACAAAATAAAAATAGCTAAAACTTAAAACTTCTCTTGATTTATTAGGATGTAAAGTCTAATTGGAAGAATATTTTTTTTTATTTATTTATGATAGTCACAGAGAGAAAGAGAGAGAGAGAGGGGCAGAGACATAGGCAGAGGGAGAAGCAGGCTCCATGCACTGGAAGAATATTTTTATGTCCTATTTCACTTCATAGGTCACAATAGAAATTTTTTTAAAAAAATCTGTATTTCTGATTAGAGGGTGCTCAAAAAAAGTTGTCAGTCCATTATTTTTCTTTCAGTCTACTCTTTTGCATTGCAAAAGGAAATTATTAAAATTTCCTTTATATTCCTTTATATTAAAGGAATATTAAAATATTAAAATTCTTTTATAATTAAAATTATAATTATTAAAATTATAAAAGGACATTATTACATGAGCGGGTAACCTCAAAAGCATTTTCCAGTCCTTATTGGCCACATTTGTATCCTTGGTATGCTCTTGCTCAAATTACGGACCCATAAGACCCAAGTAGAAACTTGAAGGAGAGAGAAATTAAACTAGGATAGTAAAGGTTTTGTCCTACTAAAACAGAAATTATAAGAGAAAGAACTCTGAATTTTCCAAATACCCTTTCATCTCCAGACATTACTGAAAATGAAAAGGTAAATTTAAATTATTTTTGTTGATTCAAATATTTTCTCTTCTATAATAAATCCTTTAAAACACCTAGCTTCATTAAATGCTTGTTTCATGTCCAACACAGTTAAAAAATGTCTATACCCTGTCTCCTTCAATTCATACAATTCCATGAAGTAGGTATTCGGATTTTCAATCAAAATGTAAGAAAACTGAAGCTTGCAGAGGCCCCAGAGCTGGTGCTCTTAATCTCTGGGAGAACCCTCCCCTCCTTGGGATTTACAGGCTTGACAGTGTCTTCTCCTTATCTGCCTAATGCTGTTCTCTTTCGTGTGTATGAATGAATCCGTAAAGACCACAAGTTCCAAGGAAAGTGAATTTATAGCCGAAGGAGGAGGTGTACGTGGCCCAAGAATTGTGGAAAGACAGCAATCTGCCTGCAAGGAGACAGATTGGCCCTTCTGTTCCGATGAAGACTGGGTGAGCAATGGGCATAGGGAGAGGGATAATCCTCCCCTGTGGTGCTAGAATTGTGCACAATCTGACCCAGTAGGTCACAGAAAACTTTGCCAACGGGTAATAATCTAATAACTCATTACATGCCAAATTAAAAAAGACAATTGGAAAGTAGCCTCACCATGAGAGCACTATTTAAATTACCTCCCAAACCCTGGGTCATTAGTGGGATTAATAGCTTGGATTTTAGTTGCATGTTCCAGCAAATGCCAGGAACCTGAATATTATGGCTTCAAGATTTTGTGGAGTCTAATTTATGGTTAAGTGGAACTTCATTCCAGAATTTCTTTCTCTATGACCTATGACTAGTTCTCTCAAACCACTTTTTTAAGTCAACAGATGATCAGAGGATGTTGGGGAGGGAGGGGCAATGGGAGTCACATGGAAACCTTTAAAATTGTACTGGATTCAAGATAGAGGCTTTAATATAATTTTCCCCTTCCCTTCCAGAACTACAAATGCCCTTCTGGCTGCAGGATGAAAGGGTTAATCGATGAAGTCAACCAAGATTTTACAAACAGAATAAATAAGCTCAAAAACTCACTCTTTGACTATCAGAAGAACAATAAGGACTCTAGTTCATTGACAGCGAATATAATGGAACTTGTGAGAGGGGATTTTGCCACTGCCAACAGTAAGTAGTAACATCTGGGCTTTGACATTATAGCGCACAACAGAGAAACAACCAAGGCCCTAAATAAATACACTGCTTCCTTATGGCAACTTCCAATTGTATTCCAAAGTACTTAAGATAGAAACACATGCCTTCGCGATACCCTGAATTTTAAGGAGGGGCTTGCTTTTTGTAAAAGGAACATTAAAAAGGTCAGTTTAGAATTAAAAACAGTCAGTTTAGAATTGTTTAAAGTCATGGAACTCCTGGGTGGCTCAGAGGTTGAGCATCTGCCTTTGGTTTAGGGTGTGATCCCAGGGTCCTGAGATCGAGTTCCACATCGGGCTCCCCGCAGGGAGCCTGCTTCTCCCTCTGCCTGTGTCTCTGCCTCTCTCTCTCTTCTGTCTCCCAGGAATAAATAATCTTTTTTTAAAAAAAAATTGTTTAAAGTCACAAAATTAAGTCTGAACTTTGTATTGAAGACTAGAATTTATGCATGTTCTTCTTTTAAGAGTATATACTGAAAATAAGATGAGCAAAACCTTTTGAGTAGATCTTGTTTCTGTCTTATAGAGGATGGAGAAAACTGAGATCAAGGGACTTACTCGAAGACACAAAGCTATCATGTGATGAGGCTGGGAGTTCAGTTTACAGACTCCATCAGGCTGTTCATGTTTTGTTTTTTTCAATTTAAGATATAGAATCATGCTCTGTATTCCTCACAGAACTATGACTAAGTCTCATTAGGACTAGGAAACACTGGATTTGCTCTGAGAATGGGAAGCAAGTTTAGTGATGGCCTAGCTCCAGAAGCTTTGACTCTATACCTTTAGGGGACACTTAACTAATTTAAAATCAACAGTGCAACAGCAATGGCAGGAGAGTGATCCTATTGACCTGAAAAAAGAAAATCTCAGGAACAATTTCAGATCTATAGGTAGGAGGGAAAACTCAGAAAATCCAAGACGATGTTTAAGTATGTTATCATATTATTTAGCAATATGTTTAAGGATATGATGGTTAAGGTTAAGGATATGATGAAATAGTTGAAATGCAATCACATTTAATCTCCTAATTATACGTTTAAAATTCCAAAGAAATTTCTTCCGCATTTATTTGGGTTACTAATTGCTAGTAGACAATCTTAACTGACAGCTATGGATGACTAAAGAATATAACATTGTCCAAACATCAAATGCCTATTAGATTGGGAACTCACAAATAAAGTGTCCATAGGAAAAAAATGTTATTAAAAGGGAAAGGATATTTATGAACAAATTTCCTCCTTTTGCTAGCTATTATAAGCAAATCACTTAGCTGTTCCTTCACTATCCATACTTTTTTTTTCCCAGATAATGATAATACATATAGCCAAGTGTCAGAAGATCTGAGAAGCAAAATTGAGATCCTGAGGCGCAAAGTCCTAGAACAAGTACAACACATCCAACTTCTACAGAAAAATGTCAGGGATCAGCTGGTAGATATGAAACGACTAGAGGTAAGCAAGTATGTGGCTCTGACATCAGATTTCCTTGTCTTTGAACAGCAGGGTAAAGGAAGGCGATAGTCATTCACTGAAGGCCTACTGTATGTAGAGCAAAGTGTTACATCCCTTATGCACCTACAAAGCAGGTATTATTTCCCCCACTCTACAGATGAAGAAAAAAAAAGCTCAGTGATATAAGTAAATTTTCCAAGGATACACAGTTAGTACATTTCAAAAGGAAATATTAGGTCCCCGCTTGTCTTGTTCCAAAGCCCTGACAAGGCCATGCCTCTGGACCTCTAGTCGTCGTCTCACTTAAGGATCAATTCATCAGTGCTTCCTTTCAGAGGGAATAGCATCTTACTCTTGATCTATTTTAAGGCTAAGATGAATCCAAATAGCTCCTATTGCTTATCTGGCCTAACTTTACAAAACCTAATGTCTCTTCCACTGAGGGCATGACATACATGATAAATAAGAGTGTTGATTGGTAGGTCTCCAAGTTAGAGAAATGAACCCAGTTCAGTTCTGCTAAGAACTTAATAGGCATATATTTTTTAATTTATATCAACCTCTTTTCTTTACCTTTCTCCCCTTCTCTCTAGGTGGACATTGATATTAAGATCCGATCTTGCCAAGGGTCATGCAGTAGGGCTTTAGAGCGTAGGACAGATCTAAAGTACTATGAAGATCAACAGAAGCAACTTGAACAAGTCATTGCCAAAGACTTACTTCCACCTAAAGACAGTCAATACTTACCACTGCTAAAAACGAGCCCAGCTCCAAATATGCTTCCTGGGGACTACAAGAGCCAGCTTCAGAAGGCCCCTCTAGAGTGGAAGGCACTCATGGAAATGAAGCAGATGAAAATGACTCTAGAGAGGCTTGATAGAGATGGGAATGCCCGAGGAGACACTCCATCTCATGGAACAGGATCAGTGCCTGAAAGCCCCAGGAACCCTGGGAGCTCCACCCCTGGAAGTGCTGGCACTTGGAACCCTGGCAGTGCTGGTCCTTGGAGCTCTGGGAGCACCAGGCCTGGCAGCACGGGGCCTGGTAGTGCTGGTACTTGGAGCACCAGGCCTGGCAGCACTGGGCCTGGCAGTGCTGGTACTTGGAGCTCCGGGAGCACTGGGCCTGGCAACACTGGACCGGGCAGTACCGGCACTTGGAGCTCTGGGAGCACCGGGCCTGGCAACACTGGACCGGGCAGTACTGGCACTTGGAGCTCCGGGAGCACTGGGCCTGGCAACACTGGACCGGGCAGTACTGGCACTTGGAGCTCCGGGAGCACCGGGCCTGGCAACACTGGACTGGGCAGTACTGGCACTTGGAGCTCCGGGAGCACCAGGCCTGGCAACACTGGACCGGGCAGTACTGGCACTTGGAGCTCTGGAAGTTCTGGCTCCGAAAGCTTTAGGCCAGGTAGCGTAGGGCATGGGAACACCAGGCCTACCAACCCAGAGTGGGGGACATTTGAAGAGGGGGTGTCAGGAAGTGTGACTCCAGGGTCAAAGAATGAGTTCCACACAAGTAAACTGGTCACTTCTAAAGGAGAGAAAGAGCTTCTTATTGGTAATGAGAAGGTCACCTCTAGTAGCACAACCGCCACTCGTCACGCATGCTCTAAAACTGTTACTAAGACCGTTATAGGTCCAGATGGTCGCAAAGAAGTGACAAAAGAAGTGGTAAACTCCGAAGATGGTTCTGATTGTGGTGACTTATCCCATACTTTTGCTGGCAGCCTAGATGATCTCCATGCTAGGCACCCTGATCTAGAGAGTTTCTTTGGCACCTCAATTGTTAAAACACCTCCAGGTATACTTTTACCCTCGCGTAAAGAGTTTGACCATAAGACCCACATTATGGGCTCAGATTCTGAGATATTCACAAGCATAGGGGCACCTGAGTTCCCTTCCAGTGGTAAAACTTCAAGTCACAGCAAACAATTTGTGGCCAGTAGTACGATTTACAACAGAGGAGACTCCGCATTTGAAAGCAAGAGCTATAAAGGGGCAGGTGAGGCCGGAGCGGAAGCGGAACATGAAATCTTCAGAGGAGAATATAGCATCAAAAGAGGCCATGCTAAAGCTCGCCCTGCCAGAGGTATCCGCACTTCTCCTTTGGGGAAGCCTTCCCTGACCCCCTAGACTAAGTTCTCTATTCTTGCAATGCCTCCCATGGCACCTTGAACCTCTTTCCTAGCCCTCTATGACACTTTATAGAAATTACACCTTTTGTTTGTTTGTGTTTGGGGACTAGACTGTAAGTTCCATGAGGGCAAGGGTTTTGTCTATCATGTGTATTCCTAAATGCCCAACAGTGCAGAGAGTCATCACTCAATAAATGCATGTCAAATGAATGAATGAATCCCTCCGAAATTCCATTTCAAGTTTGTCTAACCAAATTCTTTCGCTATTCAAAATGTGTGCTCTTGCAATTGTCACCCAATTCATTAATCGTATTTTTAGTGTGTGTCTCAGTTGACATTGAGATCAGGTTAAAAACAAGTTATATTAGGACCAAATGATGCCTAGATATCTTTGAGGTTACTTGCTGTTATCAGTACCGGCAAGTAAAATTTCAAATCCATTGGAGAAAATCCCCTTTGCAATTTATAGGTATAAATGTCACTCACTTGCATGAGTTTCATCCCAGTGTAAGTGTGTCCTTTCCCCATGGAGAGAAGAAAGGAAGGAAGGAAGGAAGGAAGGAAGGAAGGAAGGAAGGAAGGAAGGAAGGAAGGAAGGAGGAAAGAAAGCCAGTATCTTCCTGTCTTCATTTAATCTGGGCCATGCCTATCTTTGTAAAGTTAAATGAGAATAAGTTCTTCCAACCAGCTTAATTTTTTTTTTAGACTGTGATGATGTCCTCCAAACACATCCTTCAGGTGCCCAAAGTGGTATTTTCAATATCAAGCTACCGGGATCCAGTAAGCTTTTTTCTGTTTATTGTGATCAAGAGACCAGTCTGGGAGGATGGCTTTTGATCCAGCAGAGAATGGATGGATCACTGAATTTTAACCGGACCTGGCAAGACTACAAGAGAGGTTTCGGCAGCCTGGATGACAAGGGGGAAGGCGAGTTCTGGCTAGGCAATGAACACCTCCACTTACTAACCCTGAGGGCCTCTGTCCTTCGGGTTGAATTAGAGGACTGGGCTGGGGACCAGGCTTATGCGGAATATCACCTGAGGGTAGGCTCTGAGGCAGAGGGCTATGCCCTGCAGGTCTCCTCCTACGAGGGCACAGCAGGGGATGCTCTGGTGGAGGGTTCTGCAGAGGAAGGAACAGAGTATACCTCTCACGCGGGCATGCAGTTCAGCACGTACGACAGGGATGCAGACCAGTGGGAAGAGAACTGCGCAGAAGTCTACGGAGGAGGCTGGTGGTACAACAGCTGCCAAGCGGCCAATCTCAATGGCATCTACTACCCTGGGGGCTCCTATGATCCAAGGAACAACAGTCCTTATGAGATTGAGAATGGAGTGGTCTGGGTCCCCTTCAGAGGTGCAGATTATTCCCTCAGGGCTGTTCGCATGAAAATCAGGCCCCTGGAGACCAGGTAGGAGTGGAAGTGAGAGTAATCTGTTTTCTTTGTTTAGTGAGGTGAAGAAAAAAAAATGAGGAAGATAAAGTAGTTAAGATTCTTTACAATCTACTAAAAAAATTCACAGGTGCTATTTTATTATTCCTTGTACTGTATCTAAATGTAACTGAGACATATTACTGCTTTAAAGAATAAAGTTATGTGAGCTTTTTTATCTTGAAAGGAACTCTGGGTTTTCAAGTTTCTCTAAGGGTACACCAAGGAACACAGGCAGAAGAAACTCGATGGATGCTCCTCTCTTTAACCCTTAAGGGTGTTCTTTTGAGCCCTCCTCTCCTCACACCACTCGAAGTCATAGGGCCACTGTAAAGAAAAAAGTTATTGCATCCGTTTTGTTTAAATGGGTTGAAACCAATATTTTAAGTGACAAATCACTGAATTGAACAATAGCTGGCCTTGGTAGAGGGACTTAGAGACTACGAAATACATCCATCACTTCTGTTAGCAAGCAAGTCCAGGAAGGCAGGAGAAGCATTCTTTCCTAATAGAAACAGAGATCTATTCTTTATGCTTTTCGTGAAGACCATAATGCACATTTATTTTTTTCCCCAGAGGCTGACAAGTCTCTTTCAAAAACACATGGCATGAAAAAAATGCATTTAAAATCCTTTAAACGTTTATAAGTATTCAAAAAACACTACTACTGTTAATGGATTCATAAATTCAGTGTATTTACACTGGTCAGTATTTTATTTGATGTATGTCACATCTTTGATCTTGGCAGCCTTGGCTCCTGCCCCCTCATTTTAAACTTATATTCTTTCTAGAGGACTACTTGCCATTTGCACTTGAAAATGTATTAAAATACTCCAAGCACACTGGGCTCCCGGTACTTTGCTCTCCTTTGCATAGTCTTTACTCCAGTTTAACTACATCCTTTATCCTGAAAGAGGAAGAAAGAAGGAAAGAAAGAAGGAAGCAAGCAGGCAATCTAAGGATAGGGGCCAGAGCCTGGGGAGCAGATGGACGATGGACATAAGGGCTTGCAAATGAGTCACATAGGGAACCCCAGCATTCTTGCAATCCTTATGTGCAATGAAAAATCCTTAATACAAATACATCTCCAAATCTCTGAATAATTGGATAAGAACTTCTTTAGAATTAAAAAAAGTTTCATTTATTTCAGACCTGGGAGTTCCATGTTGATCCTATGCCTGCCTCATTTACTCACACATATGCCTCCACGGAATTTGAGTTGGCAATAGGAAGTATTTTATTTTCCGGAGTGTCGCACTATTATGGACAGTCGGGTCCCCAAATGAAAGTGACTCTGAATGTGAAAGGCCATTCGTTTCTCATTTATTTTGAAGACTTTGAGTTTATTGGCAAAGAATGGGTAACCTCTTTTAATCTGATAAACAAAAGCCAATATTCACAGAATTGTGATCATTAGAGATATACTTTAGTTGTGAGAAAAGACACCAGACATCTGTTTTCCATTTTACCTTTGACCTATCGCTCCATTTCCCTTATTCCTAAAATTAAATATTAATGTAGCTTCTCTCTCATTCACAATGGAAGCCAACTTTAACTTGGTTTTCACTTGGTTACCACTCTCTTAAAGTTTCTCTTTTTAAAGTCAACGGGAACTTCATAGTTTTGGGGGGTTTGTTTGTTGTTTTAAAGATCTGATTTATTTATTCATGAGACACACAGAGAGAGGCAGAGACATAGGCAGAGGGAGAAGCAGGCTCCCTGTGGGGAGCCCTTTGGGGGACTCAGTTGGAGGATCCTGGGATGATGATCCCAGCCAACGGCAGCTGCTCAACCACTGAGCCCCCCAGGCAACCAGAACTTCATAGTTCTAAAATTAATGCCCTACACTCAAGCTGCCCTGTGTGTGACATCTTTTAAACATCTGCTGCTTTTGTTCCCACCCTACCTCTTCAATCTGCATTTTTCTCTTGGTTTTTGGTATACCATTCTCATTTGTCTCATGGTCTTTTTGACCGGCAATTCCTTCTTAACCCACTCCTTAAATGTAGGAGTTTCTCCTTACAGTAACATTAGTGCTCGCTTTAATCAGTTGGGATTAGGTTTAATGCATGTGGCTTAAATAAGACAGAAACTTCTTTCTTGTTCACAAAAAAGTGTATAGTAATATCTCCAGGAAGCCATCATCCTAATAAAAGGGTTTCATCTTCAAGTTTACCTCATGTCCTGTCAAACACCATGTTCTGTGGCAATCTGGAAGATAGAGGGAAGACAGAGGGAAATGGAGATCTTCTCTCTTTTAAGGAACTTTCCAAAATGTTCCATACAGCACTTTTACTTATGTCGTACCAGCCACGGCTTAGTCACATGGACATACCTAGTTTCAGGAGAGGCTGAGACACCTTAACAATACAAGACTACTACAAGGCTATCCTAATTTTAATTAGGATTCTATTAAAAAGGAGAATACATGTTGAAGTAGGCAATTAGCAGTCTTAACCAGACCATCCCTTCTTGCTCTGTAAGTGAGAATATTTTCTCTTTGGTTGATTTGACAATCACCATAGCTTCCATTAGGAGGTTGGTGGTAGCCTAATTTAAAACTTTGGTCCTGGCCCCTGAGTGCTGGGAAAGGGCTAGGCCCGCACCTCATGAACCCCGTGAAGGCCCCAGCACCCTTCCAAATCCCCTGCTCCCTGATGCCACTGCTGCCTCAATAAATCTGCTCATTTGCAAAAAAAAAAAAAAAAAAAAGTTGGTGCTCAGTGGTTGAGCACCTGCCTTTGACTCTGGTCCTGATCCGAGGGTCATGGGGTTGACTCCTACATTGGGCTCCCCACAGGGGGGCTGCTTTTCTCTCTACCTGTGTCTCTGCCTCTCTCTGTGTCTCTCATTAATAAACAAACAAATAAATAAAATCTTAAAAAAAAAATGTCTCACCTACCCCAGGATTCTACAGATGAGTCTTTAAACAATTTCTTCAAATATTTTTATTGTTTTATTCTTTTGCCTTTAAATATTTAATTAACCTAGAATTTATTTTAATATGTTATGAAGAACGTGTACTTTTGTTTTCTTCTCGATGGATAGCCAGTTTTGCTGGGACCAGCAAGTAAAGTATTCATTGCTGGTGGAATAGAAATGCCAATTTTGTCAAATAAAACAAATCTATACATAAACTCTCTCCTGTGCTTACATCACTTTGCTCATCTTTAAAGTATAGCTTTTCAGTGAACTAGTCTCCCTCTTACCCCACCCCCCACTTTTTTTTAGGCCAAACATTTTTTTTTCCTTTCAGTTTGTACTTCTTTTGTTTGTTCTAGGGGCTTCAGAAAGGTCTTTCTTAATTTTTAATTAGCTGCTTTTTTAGGCGTGAGTCATCTTTCTTTTTCCTACAACTCTGACCTCATGTGGAATAAGTGAGTCATCTGTTAACTATTAATTTTCAAGTATTTAATTACATAATATCCTTTTCTTTACTAATTACATGCTTTTATATATATTTTTAAGATTGTATTTATTTATTTGAGAAAGAGAGAGCAAGAGCGAGCCAGCAGGAGTGGGGTGACAAGCAGGGGGAGAAGCAGGCTCCCCTGCTGAGCAAGGACCCCCCCCACGTGGGGCTCCATCCCAGGAGCCCGGGATCATGACCTGAGCCAAAGGTAGATGCCCAACACTGAGCCACCCACGTGTCCCTTCTTATTTCATGCTTTTAGAAACAAATTCTACTTGTTAAATATTAATATTGTCCTCACTCACAAGTTCTTGTTTTTGTGTGTGTTTACCTATATATCTTTACCTGTCCTTCTGTTTAGAAGCCTTCCCTAAAATAATAGATGAATTCTGAAATTCAAATTTATTTTAAATTTACTTTTAGTTTTATTGTAGTCTCCCATTTAACTGTTTTTCCTGTTGTTCTTTCACTTCTAAACTGCATTTCTTAATTAATTTAGAAGGTGATGTTATAAATAATGAACTTTTAAAAAACTGCTTCTATTTTACATTTTCCTTAACATTTTTTGTTTGTTTGTTTCTTCTTTCCTGAACTTCTGCTGACTTCCTCGTGATGCTTTTCTCCTCTGACCCCATGCCTTCTTCCTCTGCAAGCTTTATTTAGGTTATACATTTCAACAGAACCCCTAGGTGAATGAATGAATAGATAAATGAAGGAGTAAAATGGACATGAACCTGAAGGTTTTGCCAGGAAAGCACATAGATTTTAGATATTCCTTCCAGTGAAGAAAATGCTGAATTTGGGCTTTTGATCCTGAGTAAGGAATGGAATAAATGTCCAACTGTGTTTTAATTTTACATCTAGATGATGAGTCTCTGGCAGTTAGCTTGTAGCTGTCCTTCATGTTTCCTTCAGCACGCTATGGTACGTGAAGAAGATGGATTAATTAATTGCTCTTTTCTTAATTGCAATTACTGTGTTTTATTTCTACCATTTCACACAAGGTCTGGTACAAAGTAATGACCCAATAAAATGTTTGTGAATTAACGAATCGAAGTGTTAAATAGAACTGTAAAGTTCATCCATTTCAACTCCCTCCTACTAAATGCACAAATCCCTTCTATTTCTGTTGATGTCATATTTAATCTTTTATTAAAAGAGATTATTCACATTTTGGTTCATGTGTTCTGTTTACGTATTTGCTTTCAGATTCTGGAAACCCTTTAGAATAAAGTATTACATTCCCAGGAAAAATTTTTAGAATACTTTTGATCAGTGGTTACTAGAGTTTCTTTAAAGGTAAGAACATTTTATAAATTGATTTATCTAGTGAGAAAATAGCAGCTTAGGGAGGTTAAATAATGTGATGATAAGGAGCACACCGGGGGATGAGGCTCACAACAGTATTCTTATAGGCTCAAACCCTATACGTTCCACACATCATTTATTATGAGTTCTCGGATGACGATACTGTAGTTTTAGATAAATGTAAGAATACAGTTGACCCTCAAACAACACAGGTTTGGACTAAGTAGATCTACTTATACGCAGATATTTTACAGTACTGTAAATATATTTTCTTTTTGTTATGATTATCTTCATGATAGTTTCTTCAGCTTATTTTATGGTTAATAATAGCGTATAACACACATACCAAATATGTGCTAATTGACTATTTATGTTATTGTTAAGGCTTTTGGTTAGCAGTAGGCTATTAGTAATTAAATTTTGGCGGAGTCGAAAGTTAAACTTGGATTTTCTGTTGTGTGGGAAT